AATTTGATTAATCTTGATTATATATAAGATAAAATTAAATAATTTTATTATATCATGCAACAAGTTTGTTTAACTTTGTAAAATATAAAAATATAAGATAGAATATATTTTTAATTAAAAGTTTTTTTTCAAACAACTCCGAATATTTTGGAGTAAATTTCACTCTACAGGATTTAGAAAGAGTATCTATATTTATAGTTGTTTAATTTTATACAAAATATAAATATATGTAATTGTAAATTATAAAACTTTTAGGGACTTTTGAAACTTTTGTAGATTTTTAAAGATTGAAACAAAACATGAATTTCTGCGTAAGTATAGTCTACATAATTAATTTTAATTAATTAATTTTTTTTAAGATTAAATTTTTCGCGATTTTAATGAATATAAAATTAATTTGAATTTATTCTTCGTGCTTTTTCGAGTTACTTACCTTCAAGCCTAAATCCACGATGTTCAACATAATCAGGGACTTCTGTCTCTGTCGATTCGAGTAGAGTAGATAGGACGTCTCCAGCTGCTTGTTATGAAAACTGTTGGTCAGCGAGGGCAAGAATATTCCTTTGTACAGCATCCCTTTTTTGAAGACATCTAAAACCACAAGATCGCGCACATTTCCCGTCTTTTCTCTTTCAATTTTTTGTGTCGGATTAAATGGGAAAACATTCTGGGATCGTGATTTCTCGTACCACATTGAGTCTGAGCCTCCTCATCGGCTACGGCCTGCTCTGCTCCGTCGGCGGCTTCCGGTTCCGCTTTCTCGGTCTCATCATTGTCGGCGAGTGCTTGACCGTCATCCTTCGCTTCGGCAGCGACTTCAGGATCCGTGCTAGACTTCCGGTCTTCCCACGCCGCCAGTCCTTCCCGGCCCAGCCTTTCGGAGGTCAATTTCTTCACCGCCTTGATCCATAACTGTTTCCTCGGCGAAATGCTCGACCTGACCCACGATTATCGCGCGTAATGTATCGATTCGCCAATTATGACGAAAAAAGAAAGATTCATAGCGTTGTGCAGTGTGAAATTTGCCCACTAATGTGTTCTTATATGGTTACAAAGAGAAATATTTTACGCGCGCGTTTTAGTTTTGTTTCATTTATAAATTACACGGAAAGAACGGTATTGTTAAAATATTAAAAAATTTAACCAGATATATATATATATATATATATAGATTTAAAAATTAATTTATTGAGAGGACATCAAAATAATTATGTAGGACACTTAATCTTCGGTGATCATCATCATCAGGGGTCCAATGGACGTACTTTTTTTTCTCTAAGTTTCAAGTTAAAATATTTCTAAGTTTGTTTTTTTCATTTATTAAATTTTTTAAGTCTTTAAATTTAAAAATTAGCAAATTCAATAATAGAATCACAATTTTGGATGTTTAAACAATGTCCTGAAATTTTTTTGATACTTGCAAAATTATTTTTTTATATATAATATTATTGAGACACTGCATACAAAAAATTGTTTTTAAATTTTAATATAATTTTCAAATAATTCCCGTGAAAGCAGAATCTATGCAATTTAATAAGTAAAATCTCTTTGTTCTCGATCAGATCGAGCGAATTTCACACTTCGCGGAGGGATGAAGAAGACGGCGAGTTGAGTACTCACTCGTTGATGCTCGTGACATCGCTGTCCAGCATCATGCTCCAGGTCTGTTCTGTAATCATTATCTCCCCGATGATCCGCGGATCACGATTGACCGCTTACGTTGTGATCGTCAGTAAGGCAACAAGTGCCTTAGCGTCATCCGGCATTGTTCATAGACACCTTGAATGAAACTGACTGCGAAGAAGCGACGATTTGTTCGCACCACGGCGACGTTGCGGGGCGAACGTCGTTTTTCACGAGACGGTAACTCTCCGGCAATAAAAGACTCCGACAAGAGAGATCAGTCGATCCACGATCGCGATCGCGTACGACGGCGGTTGATCGACTCGTTCAACAAGATCCGGTCTGACTCTTTAGCTTCACGACCGGCGGGATGCGAGAGGCGTCTGATCGAAGTGTCATATCTTTTCCTTTCTCCTCAGGGCGTATCGGGTCGTGACGAAAACGCCTCCACGGGGACGCCTACGTACTTTTTTTTCTCTAACACTTTCAAGTGTCCCTTTAACGGCTTTAAGTGTTATCAACTTCTTTGTCAATATTAAAATCAAACGCGACGGCGTGTTTCCGCGACATACGAGGTATGTGACGAAAAAGAAGTGGCACCAAAAGACGAATTATATCTAATTTATAGTATTGGAGATATTTTACAAGAGGAAACCCAGAAGTATCCGTATCCGATTTTAATAAGTTTTGAATATATTGTTAACAGAAATAAGGGATTTTTTAATAAGGGTGTAATCGCACTTTTGAGGAGCATATTTCTTTGAAGAAAATTGGTTTGAAATAAACATTGTTGAAACTGTAAGAGATAAAAAAAATATTTGAAAAAAAAATGTTGAATAAAAATTCTGAATAAAAGTTAAATTTATATTTAACTTTTATTCAGAATTTTTATTCAGAAATTTTTTTGTGCCCCTTATTTTTGTCTAGAAAACAACATATCCAAAGCTCATCAAAATAGAATAGGAACACTTTCGCAGATCTCATTGTTAGATAAATTATTGCTTCATTTTCTATATACATAATTGTTTAGTGCGTGTGTCTGTGCATATTGTTTTATACAGTGATATATGATAAGTGTACATAAAAAATTATGTAATATATACAAATTATGAATTGAAATTATATAATACACAAAAATTTATTTAAAAAACTAACAAGATAAAATCCTCTTAGTCGAAAATTCGATAAGCGTAATGTTCAGAAATTAATAATTAATTAATTACATAATAGCTTTTAATTCTTAGTAATTCTTAGTAATTGACAATAAATCTGCGACACTTTCTTTTTCACCAATCATCTCGTATTTTTGCGAAACATGAATTCTGAGATTCTGATTCTTTTTTTATATCTTTACTATTTTCATCACGACTCGACGCGTTTTCGGATGAAGAAATGAAGTGTTTAATCGCGAATACGACAGATAGATGAAAAAGTGAATGTTATACATATATGTACTGTTTATCGAAACTGAAATATAAAAAAATTGTAATTGCAATAAATTTCATTTCTTTCTCTTTATCTCTCATTAATTATATTAATTTATATTATAATAATTAATTTAATCCTAACCGATATTAGCTCCAAAATTTCTTTAAGGTAATTATTTTAAGTAATCTAAATAAAATTATTTTCAGATCTGTAGCTAAATTTTAAGATACTTCAGTAAAACCAAACTTTTCGCACCGTAATAATTCACGGATCTAATTAATGTCGTTTTACTTAAAATCTTTTTGCTAACGTAACTGAACAATTGTTTTTTTCATTTTAAAATCAAAATCCGAAGAATAAGATTATAAATTTCAAAAATTATATTATTAATTATATATTAATTAAATTATTATAAAATTGAAAAAAAATTGTTATAATCCATTTTTCACAAAGCACTCAAAGAAAATCCGAGTCTAAGTTCATACTGAACGTGTGAAAACCGATTAGGATTAAAAAATAAATTTTGTATGTCTAATCCATGAATTTTTATTTGCGTTACAATTTCAATAAACAGGAATGTATAATCAGAAAGTAAGTATGAAATAAATGTCGCACGTTACATAAGCAGAGGATTTTTTTGGATTAATGCTTTTCAATAAAAAAAAAAGTGTGCTTTTTAAATACGATAGTGAGTAGCTTACCTTAATTGTCAATTCTTAGCAAAGGAACCGAAGGCGCTTCTTTCTATCACGTCCTGGCATCGAGTCCATAAATTGCGGGAAAAACTCGAAAATTGCGCGCGCGCTTCTTGACAAGCCGACGAGCGGGATCTATGAGATGTCCACAAAGTTCAACCCGCATCCCCCATCATCGTTGGCTCATCCCCCCTGAATCCGATACGGAGAAGGGGCGCGATTGTCGGCGCGTAGCCGACATTTCAAAATAATATTGCTATTGTTATATTGTACTTTAAAGGAGATTCCTTATGTAATAATTTTTTAATACTCTACATTAGTATTTACTTATTGTTAGAAATGATAAAGTCTTTTTGACTCGCTGTTGAGTATTAATGAAATGTGAATGTATGCAATTAATTGAATTTGTTATTTAAAAAATATATATGTGTATATATAAAGATCCACGTATTACAATGTTATACTACTGAAAAATAATATCCGCCTAACTTATTATTATCAATTCGTATATAATCCCAATTTTAAAATAGAGACAGTGGTGGCTCATAGTGGATTTCGTTCGAATTAAAAATCCATTCTCGTTGTTATTGATCGAGACATATTATTGAAGAATGAGAAGTTGGTTTCATAGAAATAAAAATGTAAGTAAAAACATCAAATTAACATATAATTAATACAAAAAAATATTATACATATTATAAAAAAATTCAAAATTAATTAAATTTTCGAAGTTACAACGACAAAATTTTAAATATAAATTAAAAACAAATTGAACTTTTTAATTATTTTTTTAAATTATAAATTAATAAAAGTTAAATTCACACACACATACACACATACACGCGCGCAATAAGAATGCTGATAAATTACCGACAATAGATACAAAAATTGATGTGGCTAATCCGATATTTTAAATTTTTGTAATTTATACAATTTTATTTTTAGAATACAATAACGTTCGGCGCAAAATTTAAAAATATTGAAATTTTTCACTTATAAATGTAATATATTAAACTTTTCATTATCATTATTCGTTCATGATCTGTTGTGTTACAATTTTCCTCACTGAGGTGCGCTGTAATTTAAACTCAGTTTTGGAGTTTCCCTTCTATTACTTTTAAATTAATCTTGTTTCATGCCAAGTCAGCTAGACATGTGAAGATTCATTTTGAAGGTAGTAGTCGACGGCAGTGGACGGTACAGCGTGGGTGAACGTGCAAAATTGTACAGAAATTTGTAAAAATAACATAGTTGGAGAATATATTCGAAACATGTAATTGCAACAGAGTATATGGAGTTTAATAAAAACAAATATTATATTATACGAGAAATTATTATAATAATGAATTGAAAAAGAAATTAAAATAAAATTTCTAGATGTTAAATAAAAATTACTTTATTTTATTGTATTAAATGTTTTGTTAGAATACTGTTGTTTATTAGATAAACATATATTAAAACATATATTTATATTATTTTTTTATATACTGATTATATGTTTCAATAAATTAATGTATGTTTTCTTTCTTTTCTTACAGAGGATGCAATGAAGATTTTATTAAATTTTTTAAATAATTGATTAAACAACGGGCAAGCATTCACATAGTAGAATGCATTGGATCAAAATCTCGTGCATTTTGTGCGTGTTTGGATGTTTTAAGGACTTTCGACCTTCTGAATCATTTATAACAGATTACTTAACTGGACCATGGAAAAATTTTACAAAGGAGGAAGTTAGTTTTTGAAATATTGAATGTTATATTGATTTTATGTCCATTCAATAATTAAATTGTTAACAATACGTTCAATTTTTCAGGTAAATCAAGATATTTATCCTGTGACCACGTATAGTTACTTAGCAATGCTGATACTTATCTTCTTGATCACAGATTTTGTTAGATACAAGCCTATCATTGTATTATGTGGTCTTTCTGGTATCGTCACGTACATCATGATAATATTCGGCAAAACTGTGATAGTATTTCAGATTGTAGAATTCTTTTACGGCGTGTTTATGTCAACAGAAGTAGCCTATTATACTTATATATACGCCAAAGTAGATAAACAACATTATCAAGAAGTAACAGGGCATACTAAAGCAGCCGTACTGCTTGGCCGTAGCATGTCTGGTATTGTAGCGCAATTAACAGCTTCCTTCGAATTATTAGATTATCATCAGCTCAATTTTATAACTCTTTCAGGTACGCAAGATAAGATTAATTAATGCATACATCAAACTGCCTGATTGTGACTTAATCATTTTGCATAGAATTCTATATAGCTTGTGCAAAGTAATGACATTGATTAACCCATAATAAGAAGACATTTTTATTATGTTAAAAGAACATGTTAAAGGAAATAGATCTTGGGATCTACTAAAATTTTTAGTTATTAGTTTTTATTTTCTTTAAGAATTAATTTTCTTTAAGTTCAATTATATATTCTCAATCTACAGTATAAGACTGTTTGAAAAACATAAATAAAATTATTATAATTGATAAAATTTATTGTTTCTAAAGTTTGTTAAATATTTAAAGACGCGTTGAAAATTTTTTTGAGAAAACACGATTTTTCAAATTATTCCCATGATTATCAAGACTTGTATGTTTCTGTTACGGATTATTGCAAATATATCATATATATATATGAGATATATTTATAAATATTGACATTCTTTATATATTGTATTATATAAAATAATTATATAAATAACACAATGTTACAAATTTTATTTTCCAGCTAATATTTTTGCGACGATCTGGGCGCTCTTTTTGCCTTCCGTAAATCATTCGATGTATTTTCACCGCAGCAGTGTTACTGAGAAAGAGCAAGGAAAAGACACTCTCGATTATCACTTACAACATTCCAGCAATTTGCAAGAATCACCTGATGTCGAAAATGGTAAAACAAAGCATTGTTTCATAGTATCTAGCGCACGATTGCTTCGCAAGATCAGAAATGCGTATGCGTTGTTGTGGAAACATTTCGTCCAAGCTTATACCACCTACCGCGTGGCCAAGTGGTCGGTCTGGTGGGCATTGGCTACTTGCGGCTACTTGCAGGTCATCAGCTACAGTCAATTACTATGGCAAACTGCAGTGATTCCAGGCGATATGATCTATAACGGTGCCGTTGACTTCGTCTATGCAATCGTGGGTAAGAAAGAAGCTTCAACCATTTTTAGTAAAACACATATCTTATTTAAGTTTTGTAAAATCGAAATATCAGTTCCGATGAATTAATTTAGAACAATTAGTTGTATCTACAAATGGAATTGATGCGAGGTAAATTGCGTTGCTTTCTTGAATACTTTAGTTCAAGTTTCAATTTTTCTAATTTAAATGTTATCGTGATAAGAGGATAATAATTATTGCAACCCCGTTAATGTCTGCTAAGAATGAAGTAATTTTGTCTCTAATCTAAAATATAAGTACATATTGTGTAAGATAAGATGACTTAATAGAAATAGTTGATAACATCAAAGCAATAAACAGTCTTAATTCAAAATAAAGTTTTGCAAGTTATCTCTACATCTTGATATTAAGTAAACGTTTCGTGAACATTGCAAGTCACTTCATTAAGGCGAGAAGCATTAATACAATGTTCTACAATGTTCACAAAATTTTAAATTAAATGACGTATCAAGATAGAAAAATTTGCAAACTGCACAGCTTTTTCAAAAAAATACTCGTGAAAGTCTCAAAAGTATCAATTAGAATTGATTATAAAGATGAAAGAGCGCGATTAAGAAAGACTAATTAAATAAAATTATGTAAAAGCTATGATTATGTTTTTTAATTTATTCTTTATTTTCATCAGGTGCAGCGACCGTATTTTATGTAGGGAAGATACAATTAAACTGGACTCTATTAGGAGATATAATGTTATCGATTTTCTCGCTTTTAGAAGGTGGTATGTTATTAGGATTTTCTTACAGCTACAACATTTGGCTTTTGTATTGTGGCTACGTCATATTCGGTGTAATTTATCACACCATGGTTACTGTTGCAAGGTGAACGCAATAATTAAGCAAAATTGATTAATCATACACTTAATCGAACGATTAAGCTAATCGGAGATGCACGGAAAACAGATTTTATATTGAAGTATCTAAAAATTCAGCTATATAGATACAGATCTGAAAATAGTTTTATTTGGGTCAAAATAATTATGTAAGATACTCAACTGGTTATATTCTTGTAGCATGTTCACATCATGTTCGAGATTTTTATGCAATTGTGTATATATTTTGATAGTTTGACAAAATTATATTTTCAGATCTGTAGCTAAATTTTCAAATCTTTAGATTTGAAAATATGGTGATAAGTTGCGTTCAGTAGAACATTTATTCTGCAATTGTCGAAAATTTTCTTCGCTGAAATAGAACTGCTCTCTAGATCTAAAAGTATAATCCAATTGTAAATAAACTTTCAATGGTTGCAAAATAAACGTTTTACTGACTGTAATCGTACATTCTTGATTTTATTCAAATTACAGTAAGAATAAATGAGGAAAAAAAGCGAGAAATTAAAAATTGTTTTATTTTTGCTTGTTCGTAGCTTCGAAGTCGCCAAGTATATATCTGAGGATAGCTATGGCCTTGTGTTCGGCATGAATACATTTCTCGCACTATTAACACAGAGTTTGTTGACGCTCGTGGTTGTTAATACGCTTATGCTAAATATTAGACAGCAAGTACGATATACTGAAAATACTTTAAGATTGGATATCGAATATCTCCTCAAATAATGTTTGCATTTCAGTTTTTTATCTACGGCAGCTATTTCCTAGTTCTAGCCATGATGTACATTGTGATGGGTATCATTAATGTCGTGCAGCATTATCAAAGTGGCACAAAATTCCACGTGTGGATCAGTGATGATGATAAATCTCTATCCGCGAGTTATACGAGTACCGTTGAACCGTCCAAACCGAAGCATGATAGCAGTTGAGATAAACATATTAGCATAATTTAACTCTAGCTCGAATTATGTACAGTTTTCTAACGTTGAGTTAGTCCACGTCGCAATTATTGTTTTATAAGACAATTTTATTATATTATTTTTGCGACGTATCATTATTTTTAGAAACTTTATACAAAGATTTTATCGTTATACAGTATACGCATAATATTAATAGTGAGATCGTTAGATATTTTTTGTAGTGAATGACGATAATTCATAGTTTAAAAAAATTTTAGAAATAGCTTTTTTGGAAAAGTGAAATATTTCAAGATTTATAGTGAATTCGATTGCATGCACTCAGTGCGCACTGAAACATACTAAAACCATCGACATACGCAAATTAAAGATGTGTATTCAATATAAATATAGAAACGAGTTAAATAGTAAAGTCTTTCACAATATATTTTATGTATTAAGTAAAATATGTATTTTATAAATCAAAATACTTACTAATGTCACTTTTATATCATATCAAATCAGTGTACAACGATCAATGCGCACTAGTACGTCCAACAAATTCACTATTAGCTTTAATTTTGAGAGAAATAATAAACTTTGATGTTTTAGTCTAGTAGTATTGCTTCGTAACGAAAAGATAAATGATAATTAAGTCATTTGCAATATAATACGATCTGACTGCATTTATCTATTTTTTCCAAAAAGTTTCTTAAAAAAAAAATTATAATAATTTTGATTAGAGAATAATCTTTTTGTACTTCTTATCGTTACAGTTACTTTTTTTTTAGTAACGAGTTGGAAACAGCATTGTATTTTTTTATTAGTAACGGTAACGCTAATGCAACTTTTTACATAACGGTGTATGATCGTTATTCTTATCATATCGTTTTGTACACACAAGATTCATCGAGAAAAAAATTGTTCGTTTGACTAAATTAATTTACTCTCTAAATTTTTTGAAGCAGAATCTCATTCTAAACAGTAAAATCTCGCTATTAAAAAGATTGAAACTCTTTTACAAGGGTGATAAAATCTTCACTGTTTAAAATGAGATATCATTCCAAAGAATTAAATAGTATTATAAATTCGCCTTTATTTCTTTCGTTGAATAATTTTTCGTTAAATATATCTTTTGATGAAAAATATATATATTTAAGTCAAATATAATGTTTGACTTAAATATATATATTTTTCATCAAAAGATATAAAGACAAACTAAATTAATTTAATCAATTAAACAATTTTTTTCAGTGCACATATGGAACGAACATAAGCAAGTTTTAAAAACAGGGAGTAATATGTTTGATGTTATGATTAATTACTAAAACCATTATAGCTCTCGTAATGAACTAGTCAATTAGTGCAATATCTTTTTAAAATAAAAATTATTAAAATAACAAAGTATAATGGAAATTGTAATGACTCGATATGTTCTGAGTAACAATAATACTAACGAGTTACTTTACAAATAAGTAACCAGTAACGATAGTGAGTTACCTTTACACTTTTTCAATTGTGCATAATAATAATAAAATAACGTACTTATAAAGTTTTTCCATTTTAAGAAATTACTTTGAAATATGTTTTCATTGTTGATTTATTGTATTTAAAATATAATTTATTTTGTTGAATAAACTCTATATCTAAATGAAATACGAATCTTAGACTGTGTAATTAAGCTCTTAAATCTTTTCTTATGTCCCTGGCCAGATATAATAGTTTGTAAGAATCGGTTCAACAATTTTATAAAAATATAAAATATTTCAATCACAAAATCATTGTTGGATAATAAGATATCCACTTTATCAAGTTTATAATCCTCTGATCAGAAGACAGAAAGAAATTATAAACTTATATATATTTTTTAGATATTTGGATAAAATCTTTAAATCTTTAAACGTTCCAAAAAAGAAATCTACGTGCTCTAAATAAAATAAAATTATTATTATTAAGTATATTAATGGACTTATTTTCAATACACTTTATATTGCAGAAGATAGACAAGAATTTGTGATTTGTGATTGCTATTTTATTGAATTAACAATACATTATAGATAGAATTTTCAAAAATTTATAAATTTCTTGATCGCGAACAATAATTCAACTTTTATCATGCTGAGTCTATTATTTGAAACAATAAACTAGTAAAGACAAGAATAAATAACTGCATAGAAATCGATGCGCTATGTGTATAGCTTTTATTTGCCCTTATACTTGTTTTTTAATTCTGGAAGACCATTAGAAGTTGATTGTAATGTTTCATTAAATTGAGTTCTCATCAATCAAATACAATTCTTTCGTATCAGTTTAATTTTAAAATAAAATTTAAAAAAATGTTATTCAGTAATAAAAATTTTTTATTATTAAATAAACAATTTTTTTCCAATTAATTTATTTATTAATCAAATTTTGATTGTTTCTTAAATTAAAATTAATTAATCAAAACGTTGATAAACATTTTCTTGGGGTTTTCCAAAGCTCTTTCTACACCGCAATTAGCATTTACATTGTTATCTAATTTGTGAGAACTAATGTTTCTTTTCAATCATCTTTTTCCAATAACGGTAAAAGCTGTGGTCCATTACGGATAAACAATGTGCTGATTCGACTGGGATTTTCCCAGATCCAAAAATGCGTACGGACGTGTAAATACTCGTGTAAATGAGAATGTAAAATGTTCATATGAATGTTATCACTACTACAAATAGATAAAACTATCAACGGCAATACGAAAAAATGCAACCGCAGATAAGTTTCATTACAAGATGTTGTTATTTGTAAAACGTCCCTTATCAACAATTATGATAAACCGGTGCTTAGTAATCATGATTTATCTTCAGGTAAAATTAGACTTATTAAAGAGTTTCACAGTAAAAGATATTTTGTATTTATGATAAAATTTGTTTTTATGAAAATTCTTGTATTAAATATTTTCATTACATTATATCCGAGTTAATTTAACATAAGGTTATTAAATATTTTGTACAATACCTTAAATTATATTTATTTCTCAGTGTCGGAATAATACAATTTATGAATAAATAATATAAAAATAGTGTATTTAAAACCAATTCTAAGACACACAAATAATAGAGATATAAATAAAATATTAAATTAATATATTATAAATGTTAATTTTTTAACTGAACAATGTTTGATCACGTTTCCAAATTAGCAGTATATTTTTTATGTCAATTTTTCATGTAACATTTGTATTGCTTTTTAATATATTCATCTTGTGTTAAAGACAATAATTGGATTGGTTTCGTTCAGGACAAGTGACATATACCATGGTATAATATTAAAATTTAATACAAATTTTCTAATTATATTGTATCTTCCATAATTTAGCACAGTATAATATTTAATTTCAGTAAATGTTCTATTTATAATTTTATTTGTCGGCAAAGAAATGTACGTTTTTTTTAATATAACATTTGTAATTTATTCAGAATAAAAATGATGTTTTTTCTCCGTAACAAATTTTTATAATTTTTTTATCTTGTTATAAATATAACAATGAAATTTTTCATTTCAATAAGAAGATCATTTATTAATAATTGTTAACGTTTTATAAAGAGTTAAAAATTTTTTCCAGTGAAGAAATTACAGTTTGTTGGAAAAATGAAATATTTTGTTTGCTGCGATAATAATGAGACAAAAATAGGTATTAAATTAACATTATTTTTGCGTTAATGGGGTCTTCTAACAGTCAGAGTAAATTACATTACTTCAGACAATACGTTTGTTTGACAATTAGCCAATGTACCGCAACGTAACATCGATGCGACGTTTTGTATTTCTCCTATTTAATGTATTGAATAATAAATAATTTAAATCTTATATAAGTAAATCCTATTTAAGTTGTCATTTTAATATCTAAAGTTAAATAAATTGAGTTATAATTAAAAAAAGAATGACTGCAAAGAGAATTTTTATTATCGAACACGAATGATGACGTATAAAGATGTTAATTTTGCTTGATATAAAGGTTTTTTTTATAAAAGAAAAAAAATATTTGCACGATTCTCCGCTTCTGATATCATAATCTAATATAGCTAAAGTTAGATACAATCTTAAACGTAACGTACTTAATTGCCCAATTGATGTCAATTTTAACCAATTTAACAATCGCACAAATATGTGTGAATTAGCAATTTTTTATGTCAGAATTGAGATAGAAATTATGATAAACTAATCCTTTTCGAATTTGATAAATTTTATAAATTCTGCAAAAATTCTTGACGCAAGAAATTGATGAAAGAATATCGATAAAATAACATTTAAACTTTTAAAAACTTTTAATTTTGAAATATTTGAGCAATTCGGAAAAATATAGCTCTCCTTAAAAAATTTTTACCCACAAACAAAATGAGATTCATCGGGAATAAATCTTTTTGTATAAGACGTAAATGATTGGAATGCCTTTCTAGAGGCAGTAGAAATTTTTCTAAATGAAACCGATTACGATCAGGCCCCCAAGAGATCTCCCAAGAGATTAGAAAGACTGTATGGGAAATACATGTACATAAACGTGTTCAGGATTGAGTGAAACGAAAGTGACTAAAACAAAGATCAGGAGGACGACTTATCTTACACTTCACATGAGATGTACAGGGTGTTTAAAATAAAGCATTAAAATTGTTTATCTCGGAAACACGACATTATTGAGAAAAATTGTTCAAACAAAAGTTATCTGATTTTAAGGAAGAAATATTATAACGTTTATTGTTTTCTATTTGGTGGAATGTTTTAAGATCATTGCAAAGTTAACTTCGTTTTTTTTTTTTTTAATAAGAACCTTTTTTTATAATGGCATCATATTCTACGTAAAGAAACAGGTAACTTTTGTCTGAAACATTTTTTCGTTCACCTTTAATTTCCCGAGATTTTTAACAAAATATTTTTGGATATAAAAAAATGTCGATAACCAACAGCTTTGCAGTTGACTTAAAACTTTTTACCAAATAAATATTTATCATAATATTTCCCCGTTAAAGATAACATTTTTCTAAACAATTTTTCTCAATAATGCCATGTTTTCAAGATAAAAATTTGTAACGCTTTATTTTGAATACTCGGTATGTATGTACATACGTTTCTCGTTAAAATTTAAATAAATGAAGCGAATAGATCTAGTATATCAGGAGACGCGGTAGTATTTTCTGCCATGTTTAAAAAACTACTAGTTAATTTAAGTATATATATATATATAAAATTATATAAAAAATTATCTTTAATCTATATGTTTTTCTTTGAATTATGATTCTAAAACTAAATTATTTTTAAATTTTTCTTAAATTTCTTACAAAATTCATTTAAATACAACTTTATTATTTTGAGATTTATTCGGTTTTTCCTACTTGTAATCCGAACCTGAATTCCAACTCGTCGTATATGTCATGACGTTTTCCGCATAAACATGACGGACCAGTGGTGGGGAAGAGTGGGGCCAGTTAGAGGCATTCTCCTTTAGCGTCTCTTCGTAATCATGCAGACCTCAGTTCTGCTTCTTCTCGATCGTCGCTCAGACGTCTAACTTTAGTCTTATTAATTAATCGATACGTCACTGATTTCCTGTTTTACTGAACTACTGAGAAAATATTAAACAATGTCATTCCTTACGGTGAGTGTTAACATTCATTCATCTTTTTCTATGTAATTTCATTTATTTCGATTCGTAAAATTTTATGAAGATTTTACGTAAGATTTTTCATAAGATTTTACGAAGAAGACGAGTTTTCCAAAATTTATTAGAATATTATTCATATTGCTCATGGTATTGGGAATTGATGTAAGCAATTGGATAAAGACAACTGTTGTGTTATGTGACTTTATTAACAGCCTGAACAAAAAAGAGATTTGAATGTAAAAGCGAGTGAAGAATAACAGATAGAATTGCTAACCTTAGTATATATTAAACTTAAACATACTAAATGTATATATTTGTCGATAAGATGCATAAATATATACATACTGACAATACTCTATCCTGGAATGACCTTTGATTGCCTGCCTGGTCGGAAGTTCAACCGCGATAAGTCTTATCAAAAGACTTGTGAACGTTTTTCCCTCTTTGTGAACAAATTCTTAAATTGATTTGGAGTGAGTTTGATATAATGATCGAAAAAATTATCAGTTTCGAGTTTAAACATGTTTTTAGTTTTTTTAAATCTAAAGAAGATTATTTAGATCATTTTTTAATAGAAAATGTCAAATTTTTTCAATTAATAACAAAATTTCTAATAATTTATTACGATATTATCCATTGTGTAATTATAAAATTATAATATTTAATATTTATAATAATAATATAATTATAACATTATTTTTATGGAATAATCGTTACAATTTAGAGGATACAAAATTAATTCAAAATTGAGAAAAATTCAATATACAGAGCAAATTCATAGTGATTTTGAAACACCCGATAGTACGAGTTCTCTCATATGTAAATAATATCATTAAAGCACAATCTATTTTTATTTTGTTTTATCTAGAACGACGTCAAAGATTTATACAATAATGTTACAATCTTTCGTAATATCCACAAATATACCTATACATTAATACATGTACATACATATCCGACATTCAATAATGTAGTCATACAAATTCATAATAAAAAAATATAAATAATAGTATGACATTATCGAATCTTCTAACAACTATTTTCTATTTTCAGTATGTATTTAAACTCACGTATTACATTGACATTGAATGCTATTTTTTATTAATGATAAAGATCTTATTTTACAATTAGTTAAGGCACCGTTTTCTTTTTGCTTTGATAAATATTGGCTTTATTAATACATTCTTCACATTGTAATTTTCGCTACGTGATGTCCAGACGTGATGTTTTAACATTTCTCAAAAAATTATTCGTACATCGTTTTGTAAATACATATATTGTAATCGCAAAAATTTTATGTTGCTGTAGGACAGCATTCTATTTATGAAACAAAATTTTATGTTCTACAGACACATCAATTCTTTTTGCGATTACAGTATAAATATTTACGAAATGATATACGAATAATTTTTTGTAACATATAATACGAGTAATTTTTTGCTAACAATAACCAGAGGCTGACTTATATTACTTGTCATTTATTGTTATAATTCACTTTTTAATTTGTTATAACTTAATCTCGCAGTTTTTGAACATGGCCGGAGACGCTACCGCGTCTCCTGATGAGTCGATTTCCAAACTTAATAGTTTTGTGATAGTTTATATTCTTTTGTAATTTTTTGTAATTTTAAAAACTGTATTTATAATTAATAATTAGAAAAATAAAAGCGTTCTATTTCATTTTTTTCAAATAATATACTATGTAATCGTTATCCTTCTCAAAATTAAAACTTAATATTTTCAAAATAATAAAAACTGCCTGTTTAACGTTTTCAGATTTAAAATTCAAAAATTTATAGTTGAGACTTTTAGAAAAGGTAAAATTATATACTTAAATAAAATTCTTTGCATTACAGTTTTATGACCTTTAATGAGTTAATTGGATAATCACGTACTTCACCTCAGACCTTCACGCTTTGAAATGTTTATGTAGAAAAAACCGTGCACTGTTCTGACGATTTTCACGGAATTCCCGTCGCATTCGCACCGTTTGATCATTCATAAATCCTTACGTCATAAGCAATTACCTCGAGCTATTTGATCACGAGCGAATGAATAAAAACAAAAAAAAAAGGAAGAGTTTAATTCCAAGAGCGAGACAAACTATTCACTAGCACTTGTCATGAATTGTACACGATACGTGATCGTCATAATAAGCGTCATACACTACGAACAAAGAATTCACGTGACATTTCATTGCCATATTGCAGTATCGATCTTATTTCAACAACTCCAATTATAACCCAGACAGCTTTTCAAAACTCAATTACAATTGTAGTTTTAATTCACTGTCCTTGTCCTTATTTTAATTCACGAAATAATTTAAATTTAGATGAACTTTTTAGTTTATCCTTTCAATTCATATCAATTTCTCTTTTGATTTCAGCTATGTTTTTAATTTTAAATACTAACTATTTTCGGAATAAATATATCTCGTAGACACGTCGTGTATTATACATTCGTATAAAAATTTGTGAATCTAATTTTAATTCAGATTGTAGTTTAAACTTCGTTTTAATTCTAATTTTAATTGTTTAATTTAAAAAATTTCCTGCTTTAATTTATTAATTATTTAATTAAATTTTAATCCCAATTTCAGAATTTCCAGCAATATTATTTTTAAATGTGTAAATCTAGCTAAATTTTTAGATATATTAACACTGTTCTTTTCATGTAAATATATTAAACTTATACATACTTAAACATAAATATATCTAATACTAGATTACATTATCTAAATATAGAATTAATATAAAATATAAATTATACTGTCACGACATTTATTGTTTTTTGTGTGAAGAAAAGTTCGTATCATACACTGCATTATAAAGGGTGTGTCTTGTCGTGATTCATTATCTAAAATATCACTTTTGTCAGTCGAGTTTTCGTCACACCTTAATTTCAGTCATGAAACCCGGATGCCCTATGATGTCACGGTACGGCTTCGCTGGTTGCTTTCACTCGTTGTTAGCCTCCGATTTCCGATTCCGGTCGTAATTTAGCCGTAATTATGTAGGAAAGTAACGAACTGAAGAAACGTGCCCTTCCTCGAAGAAAGGAAGTTGTGAAGGAATCTTAAAGTATTACGTCATTTCAGATGGAAAACCTGGAATATCGACGTGTACAGGACAAACTGATAATCACGATACATGCGATCAGTTGTCGTTCTATCTATTATTGTATTTACCGAAAGAAAAGTTTTTAGTACACATTTATAAATAAACTCAGTATCATACTTACGGTTATTACTGTTACAGTGAAAGTAAAAATAATTATAATATATGCTTTTGTTATTATCATAAAAATGGTTGTAACCAATTTTATTATAACTAAAATGAAAAAATTTATCAAATTTTAATACATACTTTTTAAATATGATATGAACTAAATATTTATTCAGAGTAAATAAATATAATTTCAATAAATAGAAAGGCTACGAACCGGAGATATGAGAAACAAAAAAGGTATATTTTAAAATAATAAACATGACATTGTAAATAACAAAGTCTATCGTCATATAAATACAAGTTTAAATTAATTAGTTAGTAAATATTTAGTTACAATTAGTATTCAAACAAATATTTATTAAAACTTTGAACTTTTTTTTCAGTGTACAATTAAAATTTGTTTCCATGCCAATTACGCGTATATTTTTTTTATAGAATATAATTATTATTATTAACATTATAGTTATACAATGGTAATATATAACGGTAGTATATTATGTAACTTAGTCACAAATATACTAAAAATTTTCTATGTATTTTGCAAAAAAAAAAAATGAAGAAACAAATCTGAAATTTAAATCATTGGATGAAACCTTGATCTTTCATGTTCTATTTAGACGGGATTAATCGCCGTTAAAAAAAATTTGCAATCAATCGTGATGAAGTAATCGGTTCATCCACATAGCGATCGCACGCGTCGGGTGACACGGTCTAAAAATTCGCATGAATTACAGGGCATTGTTGTGAGGAGCATTACGTTGTGAAACGCTGAAAAAAATACCGGAGGCCCAGATTCCTTCCGTTTCGTCTTTGCGTTTTCTGTGCCAAACGCGCGTGATTCTTTGTCGTCACCGCTTTCTCCGCCACGCCGCGTCGAGAAAGTCTTTTTTTCTTCTCGATCAAATATTCGATTGAAATGCTGACAGTGTGTGCGTTTTATTCACGCGGGACGTCGTTAATCTTATTCAGAGACACAGGTGTAAACTCGATGATAAATCGTTGTCAAGTAACAAATTGAATTTCTTTTTAGTCGCGTCAGTGTCATAATAAGGTTTCCAAGAGATCTCTTCTTTACAGATAAAACCTTTAAGAAATTTTAATTAGCTTTTATTTTTCCTATATTGTATTGTATAATCAACTAACCTTCTAGAGCGGTCTGCTTCGTAAAACTATTAGCATTGTCATTAAATACTAGCGAATCTGCTTTAACTAAAGATGCCGTCTTCACTTATTTGTGTCAAATCATTTCTCGATCGATTTTTCACTTAATATTATTCATATTATTGTTAGTGTCATGAAGGACAAATTATCATATTACGTTCAAAATAAATTAGAAAGACTATATGAACTAAAACAATTTCGTTTAATTCCAAGTATAAAATTAATAAATATAAAAATTGTAAAACAATGTAAACAAAACCGTTTCGATTAACTCAGATATTGCTTCGAAAAAAAAAAAAAAAAAAAAAAAAAAAAAAAAAAAAAAAAAAAAAAAAAAAAAAAAAAAAAAAAAAAACAATATGAATAGAATATAAAATAAGTTTTTAAATACTTTTTACAAAACCGTCTTTTCTATGTAAAACATATTAGTTTTAACAACATATAATATAGTAAATTACAATATTTTTCTTTTTTTTATTCGTATTTTATTTCTTCGATTTTGCAGATAACACTGTTGCTGTCGACAATCAGCATGATTTCGGGGCAATGTTTAACAGGAGATGACGTCCCTACAATGATGAACCCAATGTCAAGGAAGTCATTAACAAACGCTCGCTTTAACTTCGCACTCGACAGTCTGAAAAATATTGCATTAATCGAGTCGAAGGATAATATCTTCTTCAGTCCACACAGTATACACCAGGCCTTGAGCTTGGCGTACTTTGGTGCTCGTGGTACCACTGAGGACTCCCTCAAGCGGGCCCTTCAAGTTCCGAATGAGCTCTCGAAAATCGAAGTACAACGATTCTATGCCCTGGAGAAATCGCTCAATCAAATGCGTTCCCAGGTGAGTGATTCCGGTGCGATTGCGCAATTACGTAATTTACTTCGTTGTCGCTCGAGGTATGTCAAGGTGATCATCGCGTAGTTTATTGTTATACCAACGTTCGGGGATAAACCGCGCTCTTAGATACCCAAGGCCCTAAGGTAGCTGCAAGAGAATTGCAGATCCCCTTGGCCGACTTTTAAGATCATCTTGTTCAGCGAAATGTTAGCACGAACAAATTTGAATAAACAAATTTGGATATTTCCGCAGAAGAAATCGATAAAAATGGTGGAGATAAATTTTTAAGTTAATATATCATATACAGATAAAAGAGACACTGGAACAAGACGAGTAATTTCTCATAATTTGTTGAACACTAAATATGAATTCAATTTTTTCATATCACATCACATATTGTATAATTATAATATAATGAGATATGCATAAAAGTAACCCTTTTTTTACAACAAATATATAATATTTTTCAAAAATACTCCATCATGTTACAATTTGCGGATCTGAGAATAAGAAATTTAAAAACTGCTTTCCTGATTGCTTAGACAAAATGTTTGATTTTGGACTATACTTAAGTCGGATAAAAGAGATTTCGTACAAAACTACTCAAAATTTTGATTTAAAAAAAAAAACATTTTTTATCCTTATAGTATTTTTCATTTCAGGGGAATGGATCTGCAGGTTCCTACGATTATAACGTCGCTAATAAATTTTGGATTACAAACACCAAAAAGCTGCGCGATTGTATGCTCGATTTCTTCGGTGATCAGTTGCAAGTAACTGATTTCAGAACAAATCCTGCGGAAGTAAGAAATGAGATTAATAATTGGGTCAGCAATATGACAAAAGGTCACATTCGTGATCTCCTGTCAACGGATAGCATTACCGCGGACACTGATCTAGTTCTGGCAAACGCAGTCTACTTTAAGGGTCTGTGGGCCAATCGTTTCGACGCGAAGAACTCAAAACGCGACATCTTCTATACTTCCAGCACGCAAAACTCTGTCACAGTCTTTATGCGTCAGAAAGGAAACTTCCATCATGGTAAGCGTTATTTACTTACTATTTGAACTTCATGCATTGAGAGAAAAATTATTGGCATTTGTAACTATATATATAATTATAATTATAAATATCAAAAATTAATTTTTTTTCTCTCAAAGATTTATTATTAATTTTACTGACTTATGTTATAAAAATTGATATAAATCCGATTCTATTCGTCTAATACTTCAATATTCATTAATTTACTTTCTTTGTAATCTGAATGCTTTTCTATTTAGCTGTCTCTGAGGAGCTAGGCGCATATATCTTGGAATTACCGTATAAGGGTGACGAAATATCGATGTTCTTGCTGCTCCCTCCGTTCTCCATTACGCGATCTGCTCAAAATCCTTCTAACGAACCACAAGACGGCATTCGTCAATTGATACAACGTCTGACGACCGAGAAGGGCTCTCAAGAGTTACGGGAATTGTTAGATGACGGATTACCGCCGCGCGAGGTCGAGGTCAGCCTACCGCGTTTTGAGCTAGAAAAAGAGCTGCCAATCAGTCAATTGCTACATGCTTTGGGCGCCGGGGAGTTGATGACACCTGGTGTGGCTGATCTGCGCGGTTTTCTCGCGGATGGCGAACAGAACCTGCACCTCGGTGATGCTGTGCACCGAGCTCGCATCGAGGTTACGGAGGAAGGCACTACCGCGGCTGCGGCAACCGCGATTTTCACCTTCCGCTCCAGTCGACCCACCGAGCCTGCTATCTTCAATGCCAATCACCCATTCGTTTATCTAATCTACAACAAGTTTGATAACACGATCCTTTTCGTCGGTGTTTTCCGCTCACCTCAACCGACACATTCCTAAACTCCTGGTAGTATTTAAACAAATCGTGATGTTTAAGAGAAATTTGTCCTTAAGAAGATGGTCCAGTGGAGTATAATGATGTGACAAGGATTGACAAATTTGTCTTTCCACTTTATCTTCTTGGTCAGAAGATACCATCTTTGAGAGAATCTGTTTCTCGTGTGGTGCTGAACGTTTTTTTTGTTAATAATCAGAAATAGTTAGTCCTTTGAATTTTGCAAAATTGGTGTCTTTGGCTGCGTTCAGCAGAAAAAACAGCTTTGCAACTATTGTAAAATTCTTGAATATGATTAGCTTATACATTTAGATGTAATAAGGAAATAAGGGCAAGACCAATCATATTAAAGAATTTTACAACAGTTGCAAAGCTGCTTTCTCTACTGAATGCAAGCATTGATTGTCAAGTAAGAATTTTTGAAAAATCGAAAAAAGGACCTCTCATTTTCCAGTGATTTTTTTAAAGGAGTATGTTGCATGAATCTCATTAATTTATTCTTGTATTTAGATTTTATACTTCTACGACGTCTTATTTTTAAAGTTACATAAAGATGAGTGTAAAATAAAACAATAAATAATAATATACATAAAGACGTTGATATTACTTTCTAATATATGTATAGATAATGAATTTTGACGAAGGATGATTGTGCCCACTGACTGAAACAATTTTTTGTTCAACAAATATTCTTCTTTCAAATTTGATGAAAAATTAAATCATCCTATAATCTTAATAAAAAATTGTATAAATATTAAGCCGAGATTTATGTAATAAAAAATTAATAAAAATGTTTTTAGACGTATGTTATAGTTAAATATTTTCCTACTATTTCTCTCCTTCTCTCAGTCTAACATTGCTAATAATGATAAATTCGATAACTATATCATAGATATGATAAGAAAGATATTAGAATATAGAAATAAATCATCAATTTTAATCATAAACAGAACATAATTACTACAAAGAATATATACAAGAATAAAATTGATTGCCTGTTTAATTATTTTATAAATAAAAAATTAAGTAAAATAATTTTATTTATTCATAGAACTATACTAATCTTTGCACCGCAACGAAACTTTCTATATTATATTATAAATCATCTTAAATATATATACCTATAAAGTTGTATATATACACAAAAAATTCAAATTTCCTAATTATTTCTTACTTATATTTTTATTAGAGCCTTACTACATATATAATATTAAGATCTTATCACATTACTTAAAACAGTTTTATGAAATAAAAACGGATTATAAAAAAAATGCTGACTTTTTTTACACAGGCAGGTTGTTTAGATAACATAAATTACGACTTTATCAACTGTACATTTGAAGATATGTCAATAAAACAAAGTGTAAATCAAAATACAATTTTAATCAGAAAATTTTATTTTTTCTTTTATCCAATAAAAATATTTACATTAATTTAATTTTTTTGTAATTATTGAGAAATTGTTAGTATAATGCACGAAAATTCTTTAATCCGTATTCAGAGGGCGCTTATTATGTTAGAGTGCATTATAGTATATAAGTTCATTTTCCATATAGAATTTAAAAAATAAATGTGTCCATTAATCGATAAAAGCGCATTAATGGACCTTTCTTTTGTTATCGATTCGATTTCTAACGATCGATAGCTTACGCCTCTTTCGGTCGAATTGGCAAGCTAATTCTCGAAGCTGAAATCTATTCACCGGACTTAAACATCATTCTGGCTTGATACTTGCTTGCTGCGTATCGTATGCACAAGTTGCATGCGTGCGTTTGTGTCTAACTTTAGGTCTATTCTTTTTAGCTGAACTATGTTACATTTCGTAGATTTAAAATAAAATGATTATACAATTGTGCTTTAGAAATAAAAAGAAAACACTCAGTGCAGATTCAGTGCAGCTAAGAGAACAAGCCATTGTGTATCAACAATGGTTAACCGGCAGCATCCAAGAAACAAAAGTATAGCAGCATCTGCTGTAGCCGTTGGCATCCAATTGCACAGTATAAGTAAGAACAGTAGTTTCACTCTTTAAAATTTATAAAAATATGTCCTAACGTATGCACGAATCGCACACTTTTTATTATGGCGTCGATGTCACATGTGGAAATATACTGTGTTGATGTATGTAGTAAATAATCGGTAATAATTTTATATTTTTCATTTTCTGTTTTAACTACAAAATTAATAAACATGAGAAATTATTATTAAACCTTTTTTATTAGCAAATTGGTAATATTTGTTGGTAATATTTCGTCGCATTAACATACATCAAAGATAAAATATGCTGAATATATGAAATGTATCTGAAAAATAACCTATAAATATATAATTCTGACTGTTATCTATTTATTAATTTGTACAGTTGACATTTTTAATTATTTTTACAGCGATTTCTAAACATATTTTTATTGCATTTAAAAAAATGAGCAATAGAAGCGGATATCGTTGTGCATTAAAAAATTGCATATTAGCACTTTTTCTGGCTAGTGTTAGCGGAAAAAGTGATGGATTAAAAAGCATTTTATTTAGCTTTCCTAAAGATGGAAAAAGGTATGTTTCCATATTTTTCAAGATAATTTTATATTTGTTTATATTTATATTATATATTTTTAATATAAAATATCTGTTTTGAAAAAACTTGTAACTGGTTATATGTATATAAAACAATATATGTATATATAAATGTGTAACACTGCAAACTAATTAATAGCTAAATTATTTGTGAAAATATACAATATATAACGAATATATTATTTCTATATTTATATCTTTATGTATATATAATATATATATTATATTATATTTTAAGGTGCAAATTATGGATCGCAGCTTGTAATAAAGAGGAACTAGCTGCAAAGAATCTTATTATTTTACAGAATATGCAAAGATCATTTTGCTGATGCAATGTTTCTAAATTTTTGAAAAAACACGGTTAAAGCCACATGCTGTTCCACCTCTATGTTAAATAATATTAGTAAATATACATACATATAAAATTAAATATTTGAAAATTTTATTATTTTGATATTAACAAAATGACATTATATATGTATTTATTAATAATAAATAATTCACTATTACTGATATTATAGGCTTAATGTACGATAAAATAAGCAGAGAAGCATTGGCAATTCTGCAAATACAGATATTCTCATTTTTTTGGAAGATCATTTATCAAATGTGAAACAAGAGAATTTATCAGGTATATTTATGTATTCTAAATATTAACCTATAATATTATAATATTTTATTTAATATTGTACATATTAATATAACAAATTTTTTAACTTATATTTTGATTTTAACATGTAGTTGATATAATTGCAGAATCTCACCACATAGAAAGAACAAAACATAAACAAAAAAACGTAAATATTCAGACGTCTTTATCAGCAAAGTCACTGAGAAAATTCCAAGTGTGGAAAACATTAACACGTGCTCAATCAAAACGGAAGTTAGAAGTCATAAAAAAAATAAACATATAGATATAAATATGGATATATTAGATGTGGCAGTTGATAAATTTTTTCCGTCAGAAACAGCACATTTTTTAAAAACGCAAGCACGTTTTTTTCAAAAATGTGACAAGAGTAGAAGGTATATCTCCTACTTTCAAACAATAATGTTTATTCCTCTTTTTCTCCAGTCTTAAAGGATACAGAAATTTTTAAAGCTTTAAAGAGTTGATTTGTATGTCGAGTCCTACATTCCATCGATTTACGAAAAGTTTGCACTTGATTCCAGGAGTTCAATATACAGTATTTGAAATGTTAAAAATTAAAGTTGAGGCTTTATCGGAAATTTATAACTATTGCATTATACGTTTCGATGAAATGTCTTTAAAAGCTAATTTATTTTATAATTTGACAAGAGATAAAGTCATAGGCTTTGAGAACAAGATTAAATAATACAAAACACGAATTGTGTTTCACCTGCAAGTAACGCGGTAGTAATATTAATTAGAGAGGTATCTTTCAGTTATGGAAGCAGCCATTAGCATATTTTTTTCAAATTCGTCAATTACTTGCTTCTCATTTATTAGATATTTTATATAAAGTACATTTAAGAAACATTGGTTTGAAAGTAGTTGGTGTAATCTCAGATATGGGTTCAAATTTTATAAAATTGTCTGAATTGTTACATATTAATATCAAAAAAGATCCTCAAAAATTTAAACCTTTTTATCTAATAATATACATTACCATGAAAAGTAACTGATATATTATTAATTAAAGATGCTAGTACAAAGTGAACATACATAATGTGTATGCAACTTTCGGTTGATTTTTGAATCGCTTCCGCCTTCCGCTGTCCCCCTCACCTCGCAGCTCCGCGCGCGGTCCAAATGCCGCACGACGGTCGACCGATTCGAAAATCAACCGAAAGTTGCATACACTTTATGTATGTTCACTTTGTACTGGCACCTTTAATTAATAATATATCAGTTATGATCAGTTACTTTTCATGGTAATATATTATTATTAGATAAAAAGATTTAAATTATTGAGGATCTTTTTTTTGAATACGGCTTGACCTTTTTATTTTTATGATATGATTAGGATATCACTTACTTTTTAGAGTACAGATATATCACAAATATTGTATATCAATAAAATTATTTAATATTAATAATAATGTAATATTATTAATATACAAATTAATTAATAATACTATATTAACATGAAGATAATATATAATTATGTTATAATATTGTTAAAATATTAATATATAATAAATAATATAATAAAGATATATTAATATTTTAATTTTATATATAGACATTTTTGTAGTATTTTACAAATAATAAAAAAAAACATTTACGTATAGATATAACCATATATGATTTAATTATATAAGGTTATATTTCGATTTTCACTACCTAAAACATCTAAAAATCTATAATGCACGTAATGCATACTATAAATTTTTAGTATTAGAGGTAATATATTTAGTATATTTATTAAACCATATATTTAGTATTGACAGTGAGCATCAAAAGTGCTACTGACTCGAAGTAGTCATTAATCGAGTTTGATTATTCAAACAAAGCGCCGCATACAATTTTCAACATGGTGACTGTAGGATATAGATCAAAGGTAGAACATAGAGTGAAACTACTATTCTTACTTATACTGTGCCAATTGTGTCATGTGGAACATACGCACGTACATACACATGAACGAAATGGATGCAAATCGAATTCGCAAATCCTTGACGTACTATAAAACAAAAAAAGAGATTCACGAGAGGCTCAAAAATGACTCGCGCTTTCTCGAGAAACGTAACGTCATAAAAGCATAAAGAAAACTCGCATTTTACGCCCTTATGATAGAAATGTGATAGAATAATTTTATGCATATGATTATGTATGCAAGTTTATCCGGATAGATCCTATAATAAAATCTTTTGATTGTGACGATATTTTGTTTGGGATTGTTATGTCAGCCAAGAAAGATTTAACGAACCAGTTACTTTTTGTATTTGCATACATTTTTGTTTGTATTATTCAGTTTCCTTGCATATATCTTCAAATTTCTTCCACGTGTCTCTTGGTCAATTAATTTTATATATATAGTTATATATATAGTTTGAGTAATTATAATATGAAAAACTACGTTTATTCTTTCGCTCGTTCCATGTTTATCAATATTCTAAGATTTCAAGATTTTAGAAGAATCATTATAAGAATCAACGATTGGACAAATGAAAAACAAATTGATCACTGCACTGGTTTAATCTTTATAATTATATATTTACATAATTATAATAAAGTGAATTATTTATAATAAAATGTACACGCGGCAACGACAAAACGAACCGGATATTTATGTAAGAGCTTGAATCAAAGAATAATTGAATACATGTAGAAATAATGGTTTGATCAAAGTTACAATCGACATCTTGGAAATCTATCATACTTATATGAGACGTGTTTCTAGTATTGTTCTCCGTGCACTCTCTAAACTCCTTGGAACGAGATTCAACCCAAAAAATTTAGAAGCAGCATGAACAGAGACATTGTAAGAAAATCTTCCAAGTTGCAACAATATACGTAGTAAAAAACGTCATTATATAATTATCGCCCTTTTGTAAATTATAATTTAAAAGTGCGCTAATCGAATCTCGTATGCACGCTGTCGCATGCACGTGTTTTCACCAAAGAGGTTAAAATAAGTGAGGTTAAGTATGATGTCACGTGTTAAAATGCTATACATACATGTTGATATATAAATAATATACATAATGTGCACAAATATAATATCATCAATATTTTATGAAGAACGGTATGGTCAGTTTTGTAAGAATCAACGATACTTAATCATTCGGTAAGTTTTAAAAATTATAAAGTAATCATCGTATTTGTTTTATCAAATACTCCCCCCATTGTTGTAAAAAAAATTAATTGCTACAAAAAAAAATAAATATTACAAACTTTTTGAATCTATTGAAATTTAAATGTAAAGAATTTGTTAAATGGAAAGAAAAGAGAATTACTTCTATACAAAATGTTTGAGAAGAAATGAAAAGTTTTGTCGCATAGGGGTATAGAATGGACTAAACTGAGAAGAAAAATCCTCTACCATTTTACAATTTTTGATATGGACATTGTTTAGCGACGACCTTTGCCGCTTGTTATAAACAACGTGTGTTTAGCGAGGGCGAACACGCGCGGCGCGCCTCGCTGGGCGACCGTTGTGAAGTTAGCCCCCCAACATTAAAAAAAATAAAATTTATATAGCTCGACATTCGATTGCTCATCGTTTGCACAGAGGCCAACTTCACACTATTCATAAAATACGTTTCCGGATCAAATTCGATCGAAAGGAGTTCAATAGCTCCAATCGATAGATTTTCGTTTGCACATTTCGAAACAATTTGCTCGATGTTGGGGGGCTAGTGTGAAGTTAACCCCCCAAAATTGTTTTTTAAATAACTTTTAAACTAAAGGTGTGCAAACGAAAATTAAAAATGTGCATAAATGTGCAAACGATGAGCAATCGAATGAGCTATATGTATAAATTTTATTTTTTTATGTTAGGGGCTAATTTCACGACGGTCGCTGGGTAGTCATATCCAGCCGCCCGCTTGCATTTGACGGTGGGCTAGGCGAATTTGGAGATACTTTTATGAATTAATATCTCGTTAACTACATCAAAAATTGTAAAATGGTAGAGGACTTTTCTTCTCAGTTTAGTCTATTCTATACCCTTATGCGACAAAACTTTTTATTAATTCTCAAACACCCTGTATACATAAATAACTTCCGTCAAAAGTAAATAGTATATTCAAAAATATATTAAAATTTCGATAATGATAAAGCTTCACATTTTTATTTTATTTACCGTTAGTTAATTTGCTTATAAAGAAATGATATTGTATATAAAATTATATTTATCAAACATTGAAGTTATTACGTGTGTTAAATTAACAAATAATTTGACGAAAAATATAGATAAATTTGTGTATGTTATATTGAAAATTTTTAATATAGAGAGAAAGAGAGAGAGAAGCAGCTAAAATTCAGTAAAAAAAAGTAGCTTTACAACTATTGTAAAATTTTTTAGTAAGATTAAGGGGGAGGGTTTGCTCTTAGTTCCTCGCTGGATTAAATGTATAGCCAAATCATATTAAAGAACCATTATATTTACCATTATATTTTATATTATAATTTAAAACGATCTAACGTGTTATCGACACTCACCATATTTAAGCTGAAAAGATTATTAATTTAAAATTTGTTATTATACCTTGTAAGTAAGTTTTCTTTTCTCTTTTATCTCAGAATATTTATACATGTCATTATTTAGCAAAACTGCTTTTTCTAGAACTACAATTTTCACAAATAAATAATAAATGTCATAAAGGAGACCGGGTCTTCGTGGCACAAGAGGTAAGTTGGTATTGCGTTCAGTTTATGTACTTGTGGCAAACGAAATCATGGAAAAGTTACTGCAAATATGTCTTTCATATATATATATATATATATATATATATATATATATATATATATAAAAGTTATCTTTAATAAAAAAAGAGAAAAATGTAATTCAAGGGGAACGAAGTAGATTTTCGAACTTTTCAATATTTCGTATTAATACTTCTCAGCTTAAAAAAATAAATCTAAATGACGTATTATCAGTTAAAAGAAAAGTTTTTGTTATTATACTACATGTTATTTTGAGTGATAATAGTAATTTTTTGCAATAAAACCATTAAACTCAAATGTATGTAGAGATAGGGTATGTTGATTCATATTTAATGCACTTATGCAAGGTCAACATAGATTAGCATGATGTGCTATCATTCGCACTTCGCACGTGAAAGTAGCGAGACGTACCTATCGATGTTCGTACTACGTATACTTATAATAAAAAATATAAAAAACTGGGCATGTATCATGAAACAAAATCAGAAAATGGAGATTCCGACAGAAATTATTCAGTTTTCCTTAAAAAAAAAAAAAAAAAAAAAAAATAGGAATCTGGAGAATAATTGAACAATTCCGATCATACACTGTACATTATACAGAATCATTTCTATAGCATCAAAATGTAGAAAAAGTTTCTTTCTATCATATTAGCATAGTTTAATCATAATAATCAGTTATTTAACGAACTTAATGCTGAAATTGTGAAAATTGTGCCAACAAGATCCAGTCTCCCCTACCTTTATGTAACGATAGTAAAAAAAATCGAAGCATAACGAAATTATACTGATTTATCGCAAATTCGGGATTAAATAAGACAATAAAGAAAGACAGATTGACATCTTTCGAGAGAATTTCTGAACGCAAAGCACATTTTAAAAATCGCGTTTGTTACATGTGCAGATCTATACGCGAAAAAAGTTAATAAAAATACTTTTAGATATATCGCTTATTTTCTACAACGACATTACTAAAAAAACTAAATTTTTCAGAAAATAAGTTCGAATACTTTAAACCATTAAATTTTTTCAATATTAATTTTAATATAATAACTGATCATAAAGTATAATAAAAATATATACTTTTAAAATACGTTTTTTTTCCTTTATGTTCTTATTCTTTTTCTGTAAACAACTAAAATAATAACAATTTCTGAATTGTCATATTATAGTATGATATGTATATAAATTATCAATTTAAATATAAATGCAAAGCATAATTAACCAAAATTAATTAAGTAGGAAATACCTGTGAGCACTGTTGAAAGAAAGATTCGTTAAAATAATTTTTTAAAGACCTCATTAAAATATTAAAATTATCATCCTGTAAAGTATCTTCTAAAAAAGTTCATGATATCTACTTATAAATGCTTAGTAAGCAATTACGCAGCACCAGATGGTGCGATGAAATACTGTTTCTTGCAAGTAAAAAACGTACATGGTAATACAAATGGCGCAACATTACGAGATCTTTAATTCCTTCTAATAAAATAATTTTTCGAATTTCAAAATAAGATTTCATAATAAAAATTAATAAAATGTATTTTGAAAATAAAATTTTATTTAATTTCATGTAAAAATTAGTTCAGAGATTCATGTGATATACTTAATGCAACATTTACTTGATATCTACGAGGTTAAATTTAAGAATTCTTTTAGATGTCATCTATATAATTAAAAAAAAAAAAAATTATTTTCTTCTAAAAAATCAATACATTAAACAACTTATTAATATTACATATTATCTTCAAAATTGTATTATCGGACATTCTAATCTTAATATAAGCTCTAGAAAATTCTTTCTGATAACATGCTTATTGGGTATTATGTGAATAATAAATAACGTCTATCCACAACAAAACTTCGCGCTCGTCTTAAGCTCTGAAAATTCTTTGTACCGACTTCGTTGTCCTTTATTTTAAGTTTTTATGTACCTACTATATTTTCGTCAAATCGCATTAACATACATAAATAACACTACCGAATTTTAATTACCTATGTGTTATTGATCCTGTTGTGTTCTATCATCAAATTTGGAAAGATCATCTCACTATTTACAGTATAAACTAAATTGGACATCCATATTATATTTCGTTGACATTTCCGATTTAAATAGATTTATTGACCTGTTTTGATCGACAATTTTAATTTGTATTCGGACTGCGTCGATAGTCTAAAGATAAAATTAAAGGTAAATACTAAATTGCTTATCCCAGCAAACGCGATAAAATACTCATAACATATGTATATGATACAACATATTATTTTTACTAATTTCTTAATTTGCTATAATTATATTAACGTTTAATCTTTTTATTAGTGTGTGAGTGTATGTGTGGTGTATAAAAATTCTTTAAATGCACACACATATACGTAACATAATTATGACATAATTTTGTAATTTTTCATTTTTCTCAATTTAGTTTTATAATATGTATTTAAAAAATATATTATATATATAATTTTTTTACAGAAACTAAATTTTACGAAAATTTTAATTTTTTTTTTAAAGATGTTTGCAGACGCTTGCTACAAATTCGCCCTTGAAAGCCTGAAGAAGTGTATCATGATGGAGCCGAAAGCTAACTTTTTTTTTAGCCCGCATCTCTTATATCATAAGTTACTCATGGTATATTTTGGTGCTATCTACGATTTTGAAGAAGCTCTTGGACGGGTTCTCTATATTCCTAAAGGCATGACTAAAAACACTGTCGAAAAATATTACAACTGTGAAGAAGTCAATCAATTTTGTTACATAGTAAGTAATTCTCTCCAGCGTGATTGGTACTATCGTACGAAGAATACACAAGAATATGATTTACCGCTAGAATTTTCGGATGTATAAAATTATAAAACTTTTAATTAATAGATTAATTTAATTATGGTAATTTATAATGAAAGATATGACGAATGTGTGTGTGTGTGTGTGTGTGTGTGTGTGTGTGTGTGTGTGTGTGTGTGTGTGTGTGTGTATATATATGTGTTGTTTGAAAAAAAAGAAAGAGAAGAGAAAAGGAGAGGAGGAGAGAGAGAAGAGAGAGGGGGGGGAGAGAGAGAGAGAGACAAAACCTCAATTTCTTTATTTATTTTTATTTTTAGGTAAAAGGATTCGAGAACTCTTATACATGTCAAACTTACTGTAAAATTATGATTGATGACTCAAAAGGGTTATACGTCGAGACAATGAATATATTTTCAGCTACCAATTCAGTAAAGGAATGCAATTTCAGATACCGTCCTGAACTCAAAAGGCATTTCGTCAATAATACTGTTAAATGCTTGACACAAGGCGGCATACAGAACATGCTACCATCGAACAGTATCGATAATACCACTGAAATAATCATGTTCAATACGATCTACTGCAAGGGTCAATTTGACAGTAGTTACGATTTTGATATCAGTAATAACGAGAATAAAGAACGTGTCATAGTCAAACAAGCTAACTGTAAGAACAAAAATTTCAATAATCGTTATTAATCACTTAATATTCTATATTATTCATTTATTGTTAACTTTTATATTATAATTTCAAAATTAATTATATAAACAAAAAATTTGTATTATTTTAGTTTTTTTATCATAAAATATTTTCATATCAAAATGTATAAAGAACATGTTTACTTTTATACTTTCTATGATTTAGTAAAAATTACAAAAATTGCTTCTCGTTTTTTGAGGAACGTGATTTGTTCCTAAAATTGTAATGTTTCTCTTTCCAGACAAATCTGAACATCTGGATGTATGTATTATAGAGGTGCCTTGCAAAGAAAGTATGATAACAACGTTTTTCTTCTTTCCATCACTCGATTTAAAGAATGATAAAAATTTGACAGAGAGTGAAAAACTAATAAAACTAATAGAACAACTAACGACTGAGGAAGGATCTCAAGAACTTCGCAAATTGTTGGATAATGGGATGACACAACAAGTAGACACGTCGTTTCCGATATTCAAGATCGAGCATGACATGCCAATATATGAACTGTTAGATATGCTGGGCATTCCAGATTTTACGCCCGACTTATGCACAGCCGAACTACATGAGTTTAGTTCTCACAGCTTGAAACTTGGCGATGCCGTGCATCGTGTAAATATTAACCTGACGAAGAGTGATATCATCGCAACCGCGAGTAACGTATTATTCACCTACAATGGTTGTGAACACGTGCGAAAAGTCCCCGAGACGGTGGATATTACGTCTCCGGGTATCTGTTTGATTTACGATAGATCACATAGCAGCATCATTTTCTGTGGCATGTTATGGTAAATATAACAAAAAATAAAAATAGCAAATATTTCTGTATTCGTAAGGAAGATGAAATTTAATTTAAGTTATTTTTTTTTTTTATGAAGAAACTATCTCTTTTTGGAAAATGTAGATTTCTCAGTACAACGAAAATGTTAAAATATATTTTTTATACTTATTTGAACGACATGGATTCTATCGATTGTGATTTTATGAAATGTATGAAAAAGAACAGTATATAAAACTGCTTAAAAAAAAAAGATATAAAATACAATTTGTATAATTTTATTCAGAAAATTCTTTTCTCTGCTCTTCGTCCCATAGAAAAATTTCAAATAATTAATTTAATTTCTTCAATATTATTTTCTTATGAAAATTCTTTGTCTCGTTATCGATTGACTTTTTAAAGAATTTTCGCGATCGGCAGCTTGCGCCTCTTCCGGTCAGATCGATAAGCTGAATTCTTAAGACTGAAATCCATTCACCAGGCTTGACGTCATTCTAGGCACCGCTTCTGGCTTGGTCTCTGCTTGTCTGCACGTGTGTGCGTGCGTATATGTCTAGCTTTGCGTATCAGCGACCGTTAGTCGGTAGCATCCGCGAAACACGAGCATGCCGAGATCTGCTGCAGCCGTTGGCATCCGATTGCGTCACGTGGAACGCATGCACATATACATGTAACATGCGACGCAATACGACATACCAGAAACACGGACGAACGCGAGTTCGTCCTGGTTTGCACTCCCGAGTCCTTGGCGTACTACGAGACAAGAGATGAGCGAACTCGAGATCCGTGAGAGACGCGAAGACTCGCGCTTCCTTGAAGAAACGTAATGTCGCGCGTCATGTTTAAGCCTTTAAACTATGGCGATTTGAGATCGCCAACCCGGACGAATTTCCTAGTATTAAATAAGTTGACGTTACTCGTCATCATTTTGACGTTTAAAGATATCACTTTTATGAAAGTGTATATTTACATACACATATAATATTATCTGTTTATAAATAGTTTTAAGTAAATATCTAAACATATATTTACATTTAATACAAAATTTATTAATTTGATTTAACTATTATTTTTTATTGAGGAAATATTAGGTTGTGTGTTCGAAAAGTTTGATTCAATTTTCTAACTCAAAATTACATATACATCTTCGTAAAAAATGAACAAAATTTAAATTAAAAAAAAATTTTAAAGCTTGAAATCTCTACTTTCGAAAGGTTACTCTATTTTTAGAGTTTCTATAAGTTTGATAATTTTTACACATATATAGGTAAAAAACTACGAGCTGGAAAAGATAAAAATTTTTTTTTCATTTTGTAAGCCTTACACGTGCCCTAAAAAAATTTGCAAAAATTTTCGACCATCTATCATGAAAGCTTGAAGTTTTCCCTTGTTTTTCTTATAAAATCGTTTTTTATAAACGTTTCTACGATTTTTCGTTCCTGAGTTATTCGCCAGTTAAGTAAAAGAACATTTTGATTTTAAATGCTCATAACTCCGTTGAAATTCATCGTATCACAATTAAGAAATCAGATTCTTAAAGCTGAAATTTTGCTCTATCAAATAATATAATCGCTAATTGTTTAAATGTACAACATGCTAATTTGAACTAGAAAATTTGAAACGAACTTTTCGAATAACCTAATATTTATTTACTGTAAGTAAATATTATATTTACTTACACACAACAGTACAATATGCAACGAAATATATATTAAAATTTAATAATTTTTTTCAGTGTGCCGAATATCAGATTAACATTCTTTCTGTACCAAAGTTTTTGTGTCAAATATAGAGCTTATTTCAATGATGATAGTTAAAAAAATCTTTTATTCTCGCCATTTTTCACGATGTTCTGAAAATAGTTGTCTCCCATAAAATCGTTTCATAAAATCGGCAGTTATTATCGCAACCAGCGTTTTTTGTATCTGAATATATAAACCGTGGGCGTTGCGCGATATGACGAATGGCATCGTTATGTGTGTCCTTACAATACCGACGCATTCCGTCGGCTCTAAAAGACTCGCGCATTAAATTATTATGTAATGTGCATCAAGTTAGCACCGCCATTTTGTTAAAAAAAAATAATAAAATTTGTGCTGAATTGTGCTAGATTTGTGCTACATTTGTGCCGCAAGAATTAATGACATAACTCAAAAAACAAAACGTTAAATTGAAAAAAATGTAGCACAAATCTAGCACAATTCAGCACAAATTTTATTATTTTTTTTAACAAAATGGCAGTGCTAACTTCATGCACGTTATTATGTATTATTCGAGACGTGGATGTACATTTTTCAACGCATCATGAAAGCGAGACAGCTCGAGTGAATTGACACGATCGCGAACATTGCCTGCGTGTATATGATTCTCTTTTTTTTACGACCGCAAATTGCTACTCCGTCCGCGAATAAGATGTCGAAATAATAATTGGCTCCATTGACGTTTTCAATCGAAATTTACCAAACAGCTTTCAGTCCTAAGGTTCCAAATATCCGAAAAATTTCCACAAATATAAAATTATTATAAATTAATTACGCAAATGTGGATAATTCGTAATAATCATCCGAATAATCTGATTTTTAATATTTAAATCTACGCACAACTATACTAAAATTTATTGAATTTATCTACGATAAATATAAATGCCATCATAATTGAAAAACTTGCTGAAGAGTGAGCTAACTCACATTTAGTAAAAACAGAGTAATTGAACTCTAAAATTTAGATAGATTTTAAAGTAATAATTTTTGTATCTAAATACACTTTATGTATATACACAAATAACTGCGTCTATTTTTGTTCTCATTTGCCCGTCATTTAATATACTTTTATTGTTATTATCTATTATCTCGAGAGCTCAGATTTATATAATTTATTTTATTATATTTATTATTAATTTTTTTCTACATTTTTAAAAAATATTTATTCTAATAACTTTATAACTGTAATAACACAAATTTATTGCAGTTGCGTACAAAGTAGCAATATTGAGTTTTATCGATAAAAGAAAGAAAAAGTAGAATTTGAACCGACAAACAACTCGATACGAAACGCTTGAATATCATTAAGGAGTATTTCTGAGTAATCGGAGCTGGTTCTACCAGACTGTTTTTCGGCAACGTGGCAACCGGCGAAAACTCGTCGTCGACCGCCTTTTTTTTTATTCATCGTACGGCGAGATAGGCGCCCGTACGGTCACTTTCTTTTCTTTCGACGATGATGAGGACGGCGCCGACGACAACAGTGACGAGGACGACAACGGCAGCGAGTCGGTCACGCGCGCTTTTTCGCGCGACGTTCCACATCCTTTGATCGTGCCCCGTAATTATATGACTTCACGAACGAGATCATCCGGATCGGGACTACGCGCTGCGCGAAGTCACGCGTGTCAAATTCCGCACGGTCATGCCGTACCGCTGGCTGCACGTTTTTCCCAAACCGCAAAGCGGTCGACGTATACAGGGCGTTTTGGAGTAACGATGACGAAACGTCACCTCGTGACACGCAGTACTTCGATTTTGTATCCGTTTCCAAAGTACAGGGTGACAGAAAAGTTTGACCAGAAAATTTTGTATTTATCAAATAATTAATAACCTGATGCATTAAAAAAAAAAACAAACTATGAAATTCAGTTATATTTTATTAAATACCAAAAATAATCATTAACATTCAAAATAGCCACTTTTAGCTTTTGACACAAGCTTCAAGATACATCAGAACGCATTGATAAGGGCCGCATATTTTTTCATAGTTAAATTCTCCCAAGCAGTCAATAGGTTTTTAATTCACCAATCGATGAAAATTTTTTCATGCAGTTGTTTTGGTACTTAACAAGATGTGACACTCCAGAATTTATTTTTTAAATATACGTTACTGTCAAAGTATCAAGCTAACATTTTAATGTCAAAATAATGTCTTTAATACAGAGCTCTTACTTTTGACAATTTCAAAAATTCGAAGCTTCCAAGCAAAAGATTACCAACCCTAGTCTTTAATATCAATTTGACGACTGAAATCTACTTACTATCTGTATAATAATTTCATAAATATATACAAAACTTTTTGACGAAACTTTTTTGTCACAAATAATTCTACGATGTCGCAGAAGAGATAGAACTTCGAAATGAATCGGTTTTTAATTTGAAGCTAAAATTTTTACTTCAATTGCAGCCATTTAAATTCACGTTTTTATAGGACAAACTTTCAAAACTAACAAAGTGTCACGCGTTCTCTGTTTACTATGGACGATGATAGTAGATGGTCATAAAGCTTTTTTCGCGAAAGGATCTCGGGCCCACAACCGAATTTCGAAATTCGTTAGGTCACAGAACGTTTCTTACGATGTAATCTCGTAATCGATCAGGTAGGGATTCGTGGAAGTTATTTCCACGAGGCGAGGCGGCTGGGACGAAAGAAAAGGGAAGAAAGAAAGAAAGAGGTATCCGTCGTCGCGCGCGGTTATGACCGGTCGCAGGAACTGCGACAAAGGCGTTTTGACGCGCATGGCTGGTCTTCGGCTTGGCTTCGTCATTTCAAAAGCACTTGTCTGTATTCGCAAAACAATTTTTTGCGAGCATCGTCTTTTTTAGAATAATTAATTTTCGTTGCATCCTCTGATGCGTAAAAATATATTTTTCGACACGAAAAACCCGATTTTGTTGGATCATCAAAATGTAATAACGTAGAAACTGCACTTATTGCAGCATTACTTATCTCATGCTTAAGTTTTCCACGTAATTATTTTCATGGCCCAACAAAATTATTTTTAGAGCTAAATGTTTAGATACTTCAACGAACTTGTTCTTTCCATGTAAGATTTGTTATTCATTATTTCATTGTTTTCTAATGTGACTATTTCAACGCGACTAGTATTTTCCCATTTCTGGAAAAGTTAATTATTTATCACCGCTGTTTTAGAGAAAATACTTCTTCCAAACGCAACCTCTCGAGATTAAAATAATTAACAGGGAAAATGGAAAATGTACGTAAAGTTGGTCTCCATTACTCAAG